AGAGTCCCACATAACTCACGTGTCTGCCCAGAGGCATGGAGTATGTGTAACGCATTCCCCTTCGGGAAAAAAAAGCCATTCGGCATGGTGGGCGTTGAAATCGCCAAGCACCACGATTTCAGCGGAGGGAATCTGTGCCAGAACGGAATATGCAGCCGTCTGGACTTGTTTCATGAGTTGGTCAATTTCGGCATTACCACTATGGGACCTATAGAGGCACGCGTAGACTCGCGGATGGACATCGCCATCTACGCGCAGCCACAATAGCGATAGGTCCCTACCTTCAAGAAGGCTGAGGCGACGAGAACAGATGTCCTCTCTGACGTATACGGATACCCCAGCCCGGGGCAAAAAGGAGTGTTCCAATTTGTGTCCGGGGCAGGATAGATACGAAGTATCCGCCGGAGAGGATATCTGCGTCTCGGTTAGAAATAGCAAGGCCGCCTTGGCCCCCTGAAGGTGGTAGTGGACGGCCTCTAAGTTGGAGTGGAGTCCAAGCGTAAACGCGCAGAGGGGGATTCTCCAGTACCGGTGGCATTGGTACCCCCGTGGGGCACTTCATCTTCCAATCCCGGTGCCATGCTGAATAAAGGGGGGGAGGGGGTTGGGCCTCCGGCACCACACTCATCAGACGAAACGCGGAATTACTTCCACTTCACGCCTGTTTTCTGTGTGGTCGTGGTATTGCACCGGGCGAGCCGGCTTATTCGTGCGAAGATGTTAAAGCGGGCTCTACCACTGTTAATAACTAGTAATCAATACTAAACATTGTAACAATGTAAATAAATTTTTATGGATTATACTCGTAATTTAAAAGCCGCCAATTTGCATCGTTTTAGGTCACCAGAACTGTGTCATATATTCTCCTTATGGTTTTTATGTCGTTCGAATAGACGCCATTTATCATCTCGAAATTGTATTTTATTGCATGACAGGATACGTTTCGTATACGCTATACCGTATTAAGATGGCAAGTGATGCTTTTCCATCAATCGATCGCTGTAACGAGAAGTTTATAAATGAATAAGCTATAAAGCTGGCATAAGGGCCGCTTCAAACATTATTCTTTTATATTGTGAATATGAGTGCAGTAAAGTGATTCTAAACGATAGTTTAAAGGGTCACGGTCTGGCGTGGGTGTTTACAGCTTCTTCGAATGGCGGCAGCGCGTGTGATCGCCGCTCGCTGCTCGCCGTAATTTTCAAAGAAAGGTTAATTGTATTTTATTTCACTCGCTATAAATGAGCAATATACATAAACTCTTTGTTTATTCCTTGAAAATTTACACGGTGTTATTTTATTACTAGAACTCTTGTTACAAATAAGCACAAAGTTTTAAAACATTCTTTTTACAATTACAAATAACTAGTAATATTATAAATATTAATTACATGTATACATTTATTAATCTAAACATAAGCGAGATATCATTACCTTGTTCTTTAAACAATTACGTTTAATCGCGATGAATCGCAAATTAGTCCGTAATTCCCGTGCAGTATGAGAACCGTTCAATATAGGGTTTATAGTTTAACAGAGGTTAGATTAACGTGCGTTATGTCATCACGTTTAATCATCACAGAAAAACTTATACAAAACATATAATGCTCTCTGACAATGTTATTGTATCAATCTGTCGTCAGTGTATACTATGTATACTCGTACTAACGGTGAGTATAAACTTTTATTCCCAGATGCTTAGAATGGCTTGTCTTAGCAATTTGTCCTTGTTAGTAAGTGTGATATAGCGGCCTGTCGAGACCAACTAATGAACCTGTTGCTTCTGACTGACAGGTTGTACCGCATGCACACCGGAAGAGAAGGTTCTCTTCCGGTGTGTATAGACTATACACATGTCGATCTAATTGTCTATGGTTAAGTAAATTTTGTTGTACCACTAGCACGGATTTAAAATACTTTTATGCTAACGAAACTGTTAATCTATACTAATATAATAAAGCGTAAACACACACTACTTAGTGGAGTAGGATGTCGGCAATCACAGCATATTTTAAATATTATTTCATTAATAAAGAGCCGTGCACTTACGACGCGCTTTAGGCTATATATCTTCACGGCTATCTGATCGTCGCTGCGGTACTCACGATACCTTTAAGGAATCGCGCCGTGTGGGCTCTCATAGATTAGTTTAAATCCAGATTTCGGGAAGATGATGTATTTGCGCTGCTGATAACGAAAATTGCATTTAAAATATGTTTATCTGTCTGTCTGTCCGCAAGCCTCGTTCTCCCGTAGATTACGATTTCACTGAAAAACTTTCACTGAAAGGTAGCTGTCGTAGACGGGCATATTATAGGCTACTTTTTATCTTAATGTTGCGTGGACGAAGTCGCGGGCAACAGTATGTTATGTATAAACAGAATTTATATAAAACAGGTTTGATGCACTTAAAATTTAAACATGTAATTTTATTTCGAAAGCGGATCGGTCAAAGTTTTATTATTTTAAACATAAACCTCGGGGAGTAGACAAATTTACTTTTGTTATTATCGTGAAAATGGTTAGAGGTATCGTAAAAGTTTCATGTCCATACTGGTTAAGGGCACTAATATCATATAATGATCGCTTATATCATAGATTGTAAAACATATTTGCATCGAAATTAATAGTCGATTCTTAACATCGATCCAAATCTTATTTTGATTATATTTCGTACAAAAGCCGTAGATAAGCAAAAGTAAGATCAAATATAGATGATGTCGTCCGATACCAATTTGTAAATCGAACAAATGTATTATTTTGATAACTCTACAAAGCAAGTGTAGCTTTTACAAGACTGCGTTGTCTGTAAAACTTTGTAATTTTAGATGATACGACAACACACCACAAAAGAAGTCAAAGAGGCCTTTGTTTACTATATTCCAAGCTGTATGAGATTCGAGTTCGAAACGAAGCTTGCAATGAGGAAAAGTTTTTATTAGGGTGCTGTGTTATGGTCATAGTGAACGAGAAATAAAGGATACAACAGGCGTGACGTAGTCATTTGTCCTTCCAATCATTTTATAAAAAACTAGCTGTTGCCCGCAACTTTGTCCACGCAATATTAACATAAAAAGGTAGCTTATAATATGCCCGTCTATGTCAGCTACCCTTCAGAGAAATCGGCCCAGCCGTTTCGGAGGTTACCCGGGACAAACGCGGCTTTCGGACAGACAGACAGGCAGAAAAAACACTTTTAAATGCGATTTTCGTTATCAGCAATGCAAATACATCATTTTCCCGAAATCTGGAATTTTTCCTTTGATACAAACAGACAGACACTCCAATTTTATTGTATGTATAGAAGATAAAGAAAAGCAGGTACCGTATCTGTAAGTTGCTTTGTCTATGAGTAACGGTAATCAATTAACATCGAAATAACTTTTAGCAACAATTCGGAATCTATGTTTATTGCTTCCAAAAAAAAAATGAATATACTCTCATCATTATCTACTGTAATCGTAAAAAGTTTGAACTGTATTCTCAATAACTTTTAATAAAGTTGTCGTTTTCTGTAATGACGCATCCTACCCGGCAACTAGAGCGTTAATAATCTTAGTCTTCAGGTTCATCCTTCAGTTTAGTAAGTTGTCACAAGTACGATTTTCATCTGTATATATTTTTTTAGTAAATAAGGAATTTCTTAACATTTTTATAGAGAAGAACCAGTTCTTAAATGTTTTGTTTTTAGTTGGTTTCCAGACTTAGACGATTTAACATTTATTCAATTCATATGTATACCTAAACGAAATAAGTCATAGTATCTTTTTTGATTTTATAAAATGACAAAATATATACAAGACAATAATTATTTCACGCAATTACGACTGCAGGTGCGCAGAAAGTTTATGAAGATTAAACTATAAATAAAAGGTGGCAGTAATTGGCAACGGTTGCACGTAGGACTCGGCTCGTACGTGGTAGCACTTTCCAATCGTTGGGACGTGTAGGTACTACGTGTCCATAATACGGGCACAATAACCTTTCAAAACGCCCGAAGTACGTCACGCGATACACCTGTGCCGACCATCTTCAGACTGTGGGTCGCAGACTAATCCACATGCCGACGGACTCGGGCAACTTGTGTCGTTTCATCCAATCTCTGTAGGCGAGAGGAGCTTAGAGCACTCGTTACGTAAAATGTACAGGATAAACGATAACGCCATAAAGTCACTAGACAGATCCTGTTATAATGATAGACCTAAAGCGTTCTCACAGTTGGTAGTGTTGGCATGAGATTCTTCAAACACTCAAATTCCCATTTTATTATGCACTAAAATTAACCATTTGCAACACGATATCGACATTTACTCGCATGAGCCCAACATGTTTAAAATTAAGCACGAGTATTCATTAAAGAATAAATGGTAGCGAGTGACATTTGATCATCCATCGAGGTGGCGTTCGTGCCGTTGCGATGTACATTTGACACCTCCGTAATACCGTGCACACTGAATTCAGATGAGCTATTCAATATGAAAAGCTTACACGGTATAGTTAGTTCAACTCGTATGTTATTATGTAAAATAGCACCGACAGAAGCAAGAACTAGAATTATTTATTCGTCGCGTGTTAATAAAAAAATAATAAGTAAATATTGCCTATGTTACTGGCTGATGACATAGGTTCTTAATGTTGAAATAATTTATGAAATTGGTCCAGTAGGTTTTGATTTATTTTAATACATACAAAAATACAAACCTTTTCTCTTTATAATATTATATTAGTATAAATTTTTATTTATTTATTTCTTACGTTATACAAATATCAGTTAGAACTTTTTGTAGATCGTTAGTGGCCAAGTCGTATAGTAAATAGATAAATATACTACCTAAATACTGAGATGTTGTCAAGGAAATAATATAATGTCAGTATGACGATTTTTCTTTTTAACTTTTCCAAAACCAAATCGTATTAGTTAGAAATGTATACCAATCTATACTATAAAAATTAGTTTTAAACAATGTAGAGTTATTAGACATGACCATTATTAAACTTACCAATTTGTGGTACATCATATTGGCGATTCGAGCGCGAGGCTCGCAGCATGGTCTGGCTGCCGGGCATGTCGACAGGCAGGTAGGGGGCGCGCTTGGAGTTACGCGCGCGTCGTCGGTCGCGGTGTTCGGTGGAGGCCGCGGCCGCCTCGGGCTCGAGCAGGTTGCGTAAAGGCTGCGCTAAGTCGCGCGAGCCGCGGACGGCGCGTGCAGCGCGCCACTCGGCACGGTACCGGCGCGGTGCCGGCTCGGCCGCAATCCGCAACGCCACCACTATGAGCACCACGGCCACGAACCACAAGCGCATACTGACTCCTCGGCACCAACTCACGCACATATTACCTAAGTGCACTCGAAACGCTCGAACACCGGGCTCGCGCCCAACCACATAACTTAGCTTTCACGAACGATAAGACAATCCTCGTTTTCGTGTCAGTTACAATCCGCTATTTCGTTTACTGGGACTTATTGATTATTTCTTGCGACCTGCAACAAAACAAAATTTCGTTTTAGTTTTATACTTAATTATCAAAATTACATCCAACGAGATTGGAGTCTTTGATGAAATCTTGAAATCGAGCGATATTAACTGCTTTTCAGTTAATTTCAAAGCCGACTTTGTATGTTTAATACGTAAGTTGGACGGTGAACGGTATCAGGAGAATTAAGTCGATGACCATCTACTAGGCCGAAAGAATGTGGAAAATTGTACAATAAAAAGAAATTAGCTGTATTCTAAGCGACGCCGCTTGCCACTTCTATCTGCGTTAAGTTTTAGAATAAAACTTTGTCCTCATTTTATTCACAGCTTACACAGTCTCAGTCCAACGGGGAAACATTAAGGAATTCGTAACGGAAAACAAACAGTTCAGAGAGACTTTAGCCAGTTTTATGTGGGAGCGTCATTTGTCGAGCATATTATTATAGAAAACTGTTTTGGAAACTTTGTTATGAATTTAATGTTACATTATAGAAACGTTACAATTATTAAGGTTAACTATATGTATGGAAAACATTAAACCAGTAAGACAAATATCAAATCCATCTGTAAAGATTTATAACTGATGTTATCTTTACTATTATAATAAAGCGTAAACATATACTTATTTGTTACCTAAGATCTCAGCAATTACAGCATATTTTTGAATAATTCTCTTTTTTTAAATAAGCCCTACACTTACGTCACGCTTTAGGCTATATATTTTCACGCCATTAAACTTAGGGAGTAAATGTTTTGGATAAAATCCCTAATGTGGGAAAGAGACCATAAGTTGCTGCCAACATCAAGGAAGCAAGACTGTCACGGTTTGTCATGTCATGTCATTTTGAAATTTGCTATTGATAATTTGACAAATGTAAACAATAAAATAAAATTTTCACTATTTTATGCGGATAAAGCCGCACGGGAATGGCTAGTTTGTCAATAAAGAGATAAAAATAATACTAAATTAAAACATACACAGTATTATACAGACAACGAAATATCACACAAAAAGATAGTAATGAGATTGAATGTCAATTGCTATAAAGGTTATTGAAAACTGAATAAAGTATGGATGGACTGCGTGATACGAAATATGTGTAAAAAGGGAGTGTATTCAAAACGGCCGATAAAGATGTATTGGAGAGTAGAATACACTATGCCGCCGCCCGTACGATTAAAAGAAGACTTTTGTTTAATACTGTGTTCATTTGAATTCATATAGTTTGAACAATAACACAAAAGACGTGATTATCGTAAAAAATTATGACAACCAACAAAGCTACGTACGTGCAACTGTTTACGCAGTGTTGGTAAAATTTATAAAGTCGCTTGTTTTTTATTCGTGAGATTCATGTATAAAATGTAGATGAGTATAAACTTGTTAATTACCAACAACTGCATACATCTAATGCTCAATAATAATAGAACGATGTGAAATAATTACGTACCTAAGTAATTGTTAAAAAAGAACTGTAACATAAAGGATGTTATTATAAAGAAAACTTGATATCCATTCGTTGTTTATTTTCACCGCGATGACGGACGTAAATTCATTTTGTAATTAAGACGCATGATTTGGTATTTTCATATTCCGTTAACCATTTATTATCAACGATTCTAAGGAATGATGAATTACCGAGTCATTTTCATTTAAATATCCTAAGACCTTATTTAATTAATTCAAGCTATCTTGATCACTGTTACAAGTAACGTTAATTACTCACGGTTATCGTCGGTGTAACAATTTTAATTAACATTTCAAGTTAAGAGTACATTATTTAATTTGATCCGTCGTATAGAACTACTTAGGTCTCATATTTTAATATTCAAGTTTACGCAAATTTAACATTTAACGCCCAGGTAATGCTGCACCCTCCTATCATCACCTTGTTTATTTCTTTTTAGAGTTTTTAATTCTATTGCTTGTTTATTGTGATGCTTTTATGGTTCTCTGTTGTTTTTACTGATTGCACTTTTATACGTTTCACTAAAACTGGCCTTCGTATCTGCTGCGAGCAGTTGCCAATAAAAGTGCTTTTTAACGTTTTTGTTGCACCATCCTACCTTTTTCTCTACGAAAGGTCCGCACAAGATACACTACTTTTCTCTTTAACACATCTCTATCAGCCGTCATATCTAGATTTTCTCCAAAATACTTGCTGAATATAATAGACTAGAAATATATGTAAAATATATTTTATTATATGCTTTTAGGGACATAAATATAAATAAGATAAGAGCCAACTTTAGCCCACTTCCGCTTTCTACCCTATTCTTATAAGAAATAGATGGGAATGGGGAAAAGACACATAGGAAGGGAAAGTACCCACTTTCTGTGCGTCTCTTCCACCGTTAATTAAAGGCATGCTAAACATTTGCAATTGCGGATGTCTATCGTAAGCGGTAGCTTCGCTATTTCCCGAATTAGACCTCATAATATAAAAATAGATATAAAGGGCAATCGTAAATGTTACGTATAAAGAGAGGCGAAAGTGGAAAGCCAGTATCATAGTACAAGGAAAACTCTAAGCTCTGCCTACTCTGCAATGTAATGACGTTTAAACATTTTTTACATAAATTGTAAAACAGTCTCAGAGAAGAAAATGTTTATGATAACGATAAAATTTCACGTAAATAATGAGTGAGCAGTTTTTTTTTATAACACAAAATATGTCTTACATCATTTAAGGTAATGGAGTTAGTACCCGGGTTGTACATTTCATAATTCCTTTGTATATTTATTCAGTAAACGTAAGGAGGATAAAGAACATTCACTTACATGTTAAAACGCTGTGAAATGGTTACAAAGGAGTTTGTTAAAAAGAAAAATTAATAGGACATATTAATATCATATCAATTTTGTTTTTAGGTCTATAATTTTTTTTTGTTAAAAATCATATAATATCATACTAATACTATAAATGCCAAACTTTGGATGGTGGAACATAGTCTGAAATAACACATAAGCTGCTTACTAAATGTTTTATAATTATGACTTAAGTTGAATCTCGGGCAAAACTAGTAGCTCATAAATAAAGAAAGGGCACTGAGACAAATCTATTTCAAAATTGATAGTGCGAGCACATCGTTTCAGCACCTTCAAATTAAATTGTAGAATAATATAGAGCACACTTTATAAAGTCTGAATAGTTATTAATAGTTGCCGTGCATATTCAATTATAAAACTAATTATTAGATACTGAAAATAGCTCGTTACCAGGCACAGAGCATCTTTATTATGAGAGGATATAAAAGCTTATTTCATTGCATAGCGCCACTGCACGTCGATAAATTTAATTATGCTTTTGAGACTTTCAACGTGAATGAAAGTATGAAAATGAGACTGAGAAAAACCTATTGTGCTTACTAGCGTTACCTGATGTTCAATCGAATTAAAATTTGCTTTATTGAATGACAGTCATTTCATATTGCTAACTTATTTTGAATATTTAGCTAAACTCCGTCGTCAACATTCTGTACTCAAAGAGGGGCCCAAGCCTACTTAAGTTTGGGATAGACAAAATTATAACACTGACTCGGTGCCGATTGCTTAAAACATAATCTATGTTATTCAATAAGCTAATGGTGAAAGAATTTTTCAAGTCAACTCCGTTTGTTTTTGAGTCCTTTTAAAACAGATAAAAATCCAAAATACAAATCTTTACTTTTTATAAAATTCTAATGCTTATATTATGTAATTAATGTATAATTATTCTACAACAATTCGCTATTTCACGAAAAAACAGACTACATTTGCTGACACGGTGAATATTAATTAAGTAACTTTCGTAACATTAACTTCTACATTAGAAGTTGCTTGTGTAGACTACATATGTGTGTAGGCGCTTGCTTCGTTAGCTGCTTATAACTACGCCAACATTTACTTGCGTATTGCGTATTACACTGAGCGAGTGTAACGCAGTACTTCGATTCAAAATCATCATGAGATTTACATTTAAAACCACAATACCAGACACATTTTGAGAATATGATGAGTATATTACTCTAAGCTTATAAATGTAAAAAAAGATCTACAAGTTTATGATTTGTATCTTCTTACAATTTAGTTATGAGAACTTGCGGGGCCGAAACCTGTGGCGTGCTCGTAATCGCCACGGCTATATTTATAATCGGGCGGCGTAGAGGGCCGTTGACGTCATCTCGGCGACGCGGGACGTGGAGGGGCGCGGCGAGGTGTAGGTGGTGGCACACCCTTCAATACGCACTCACAAATTCGCACCTCCATGAATGGAGAAATTAGATTATGCCTCCTCCTAAACTACAAGAACCTGACCTGAACCCTCAATCACTCTGTTCTGTCGCATGTCTCGTTTATTTTTCCCGTTAATCTTCTTAAGAAATAACATATCGTTTTTCCAATAATATTTCATTTAAATTTCTGTAGAAAATGTGAGAATACTAGAACGTTTTCCTTTGAAGAAAATAAAAAGACAATCTATTTACCTCAGTCGGCAATAAACGTCTAAGTTGTTTGTAAAATGAGAAGAAGTATTTTGCAACTGATTCTCTTTAACGCTGAATTGAATAGATTATTATTACTAAAGGCTACTTCGTGGTATTTATATATCTGATCAAACCTTTTTTTGATAATTTTTATTGTTGATTTACAAAAGTATACGAAGTATCAAAGTACTAAAAAGTGCTGTATTCGCATCGAATGGAAATAAAATTAAATACACTTTGAATAACTTTAGACAAAATAATTTTTGTGTAAAGATGCTACCCAGTGGCGGAGCATGAGCTGAATTCATGGTGGGCGACTTATCTTGCGTAAGGTCCTCAAGTAGAGAGCGGCTATTTTT